CCCGAGCGACTCCGACCGGGTGCTCCGCGAGGCCCTGGGGCGCACGGGGTCCTCCGCCTGGTCCCCCCAACGACACCCCGCGCCCGAGCCCCGCGGGACCTCCAGCGCCGAGGAGCAGCCGTCCGTGGAGGGGTTGCCGACACTGCAGAGCTGCCCCATGTGCCAGGCCGTCTTCGCCCCCAGGTGAGTGGCCCCCCTGGGCCTTTCCTCCGCTCTGCTGCCACCCGGTGGCTCTTTCCCGGTTTGGAAACCACAGGCAGTTTCAGAAGGCTAGGGTAACTGAGCGCGATTTTGGCATTCTAAAGTGATATTTCACGCAGAAAACGTTGGCAAAGCGCAGAGATGGTGCTGATCAGCCAGAGGGCACAGGGGTGCAGGTCTCGGGGTCTACTTCCTGGTCCACCGGCCTGGGGCCCTGCTGACAGGCTGCAGTCTCCTGGACGGGGCCCCTGGGACTCTGCAGCATGAGGGCAGGGAGGCTCTGGCTCCAGCCGGCTTCACCCTGACATCCGGGAACCGGGTGGTGACTGGCATCCCCGGGTGGACTGCCTCCAGAGCCAGTCCAGGCTGTGGGTCACTGAGCAGTTTTCTGTTACAGCCTCTCGGTCACCTTTCCCCGCGGGTGGATTGCCAGTTTTAAAAACAAGACTTCATTTCTGTGTCCAGAGATACTTTTCTCTTTTTAAAAGTCTGACGTATATTTTTATACCTTTTTAAAAGTAAGGGTGATGGAATTGGACTTTGCTAAGAAGTTCCAACTGCCCAGCTTGTGGGCCACATGTCACAAAGCCGAGGACACAGGTGTGTGTGGAGGGTCATGGGGGTCAGGACAGCGGGAAGGAGGTTGGTCGGATGAAGGGGGTGGACGGCCGGTTTCGGTAGCTGGACGTGCTCTGCGTGTCCTGTGGCCTGGAGAGTGGGTTCAGTTACGTGCCTTGTCTTTGGTTTTCCAGAAGTAAAACCAGCCCTGGGGGGTGAAGGGAGTGGCTTATAGAGCTAGCAGCTGATGACAGACAAAAGTCATCAAACCAGTGATCAAAATGTGTGGCACAAAATTGCACAGGTCTGCGGTCAAATATCCAGGCTCCTCCAGCGGCGACACTTCACTGGAGCCAAACTTTTGGGGGCCTGGATGGCTCGGGGTGGGGAGAGTGAGGGCGAGGGGTGAGGAGGTGGCTGTCCCCAGGGGGGCCTGTGGGCGAGGCCCCCCAGCCAGCACAGGTCTGGCATGGCGGAGGGGGTGGTGTGCAGTGGGCGTGGCAGCCGCGCTGAGATGCCCGTGCTCCGTGCTCCTCGTAGCGCTGGAGAATTTTTCCCAGACCCAGTGTCTCACCGAACACGTCTCTTGCCTGTATTGATGCTTCAGGACAGTCAGGACAGTTGTGGGCTGCAAACACCAGCTCCCTCACCAGTTTGTTTTTTTTTTAAACATTTATTTATTTATTTTTGGCCGCATCGGGTCTTAGTTGCGGCGCATGGGATTTTTTGTTGCAGCGCGCGGGCTTAGTTGTCCTGCAGCATGTGGGATCGTAGTTCCCTTACCAGGGCTCGAACCCGTGTCCCCAGCTTTGGAAGGAGGATTCTTAACCACTGCGCCACCAGGGAAGTCGTCCCCCCCAGCCTGCCTACGAGTCTTGATGAAGCCATGGATGCTTTTTAAAATATGAAGTCCTCTTGATTTGTACCCGTCGAAAGAACGTCTTCTTGGCAGCAGACGTGCAGCCCAGCCCCTCCGTCCCGGTCTAGGGGTGGCTTTTGTTCTTGGATTACTTGTTTTTCTACACAGTCTAAAAAAGGACTTCTAGATATGTTAGAAAGAAAGTTCCAGTCTGAGCTCTTTAAGCAGTTAGATTGAGGCTGGGCAGAGTGCCTCGGGATTGCAGAGTAGGTGTCAGTGCGGTTGGGTCCAGGCCTCCGCGTGTCGGGAATGCTTCTAGCACGTTCTTCCCTTTGATTAAGAAGGAGAGAGCGGGCCCTTCCGGGTCTCCTCCAGCATCTCTGACCATGCATTTTCTGACTTTTCCATTGCTGCTTCTTCCTTTGATGTTCTGCGCCCCTCCACCCCTGGGGCAAGGGGACAGGTCAGGCCGTTAGGGGACAGAAATGGGACTGTCCCACGCTTGCTTTCAGTGATTCTGGGGACTGTTTTGGGGCGGAGATGGAAGCCCTGCCGCCCCCTCGGAGCAGAGGGATGGGCTGCTGGGCCGCGGGAGGTGCGGGCGGCCTGGGCGCCGCGGGCAGTGAGACGGTGCTTGTCTTCCTCGGAGCCTCACGCTTTCCGGGTCACTCAGAACCGTTTGTTCTCTGAGCTGCTTTTCTGACCTGAGGGCCGTCACGTACCGCGTGTGTGTGAAAAGCCCCTCCGGGTCCGGGAGCTCGGGGCTGGTTCCGGAGATTGGCTCTCACCCGCCACCTGACGTGAGGACGGGAAAGCAGACAGGCACCGTGTCCGCGTGATGAGACCCAGGCCAGCCCGTGGGGTCTCACGCGCTCCAAGGCCCCTGGAGGGTCGGAGCAGAGCCCCCTCCCGTGCTGGGCCTCCCGTCCACACACCGGGCACGAGTGGGAGGCAGAGGCAGGAGCTCAGTGTGCAAGGTGGACCCACCACGAGGCTCCTGTTGGGGGGTGTGAGGGAATCCCAGGCCGTGTCCCCCCCGAGGGACAGTGCCGGGCAGCCCCCGGACGAGGTGACCTGGTCCAGATCTTAGGGTCTTCTGGTGGCCTTGGAGAAGGCACGTGGAGGGGCTGCTTCCCAGGACGGGCCGAGGGGCCTCTAGGGACTTGAGGAGGCACTGACCGGGGGCCTCAAATCCCCAGGAGGGAGCAGAGGGCCACCCGGACTGGCAGGGGCTCCCGCGAGCAGCAGAGGCCGCCGTGGGCGTGCATCAGGGGAGAGGCCGTGGCCCTCGGGCTCGCCGAGCCGCGCGGTGAAAGGAGGTCGTTTCAGGCTCGGCGCCGGGACGCAGTGGTGCGGGGAAGGGCCTGTCTACTCTGGCCAGGTGACCAGCTTGGTGTGCCGAACGCCTGGCTCTGCCGCCCTCTGGGCACCGTGGCTGCAAGCTGACCGTACACGGGCCGCCAGCACACGGGGGACGGTCATTCCCGGCCTCTCCTCCTTGATGGCATCAGACGAGGTCCGGGATGGGAGGCGCCCACTGTGACCGCGTCCACTCTCCCCTCCCCCACCCAATACCGAGGGGCTGACCCGTGGGCCTTGGAGCCCCACTAAGTCCTCTTCCCCAGAGGGGCCGAGTCCCTGAGTGAAAAAGACAAATTCTCAGGTCTGAGGCGCACGCCCACGTTCGTAGTGACCGCCCTCCTAGGCACCAGCGCTCACGCCCTTTCTTTTCTGGTTGCCAAGCGTGTAGTTTTCGAAGGAAAACTTCAGAAGGAAGGAAGGGACGCATGGGGCATTTGTTGGTGTGGACACACCTGGTGGGCTTGTCTGACTGATGAGACAGAGCCCCCGCCCTCCACCCGGGGGGCCCCCGTGTCTTGCCCACGCCCTATACTCGGGGCTTTCCAACACAGGGTTCCCCTCAGTCTCAGACGCAGGTGCCAGGTGAGCCTGGGAACGGGCACCCAACAAGCCTTCTGGGCGCCCTGGGGACCTTGGACCCAGGAGCAGGGTTTGGAAAGGCCCTTTCTGGTTGGGGGGCCCCCTCCTTGGTTCTGCCAGCCGAGGGCACCGTCCCCGGTTTCTCTCCAGCTACTCTTTGGTGCGTGGTGAGCACCCAGGAAGGGCGTGAAGGCGGGTGATGCGTGCTCTGGCCGGGCGCCCTCCCTGCCCGTGACCCTCTCCTCTTCTCGCAGGCTGACCCAGCTGGACATTGAGAGCCACCTGGCCCAGTGCCTGGCGGAGAGCACGGACGACGCGGTGTGGTGAGCAGCCCGGCGCACGGCTCCCCCTCCACCGGCTGGGCCACCGCCTCTCCTCTCTGCATCCCCCAAAGCTGTGTATTAAAGCGCGTCAGTGTGAGGTGTTCACGTCCCATCTCTGTGTTGAGGCCAAAACATTGGGTCCTTTTTCCTTTTTGGGTGATGCTGAGCAGCGTGATGACTGAAGTGGACACAGGGCCACTGGGCAGACAGAGCAGCCCAGGCAGGTGACAGAGACAGTGTCACCAGCAGTTCGGGTATTTGTACCCAAGTTGGAACAAGAACGGACGCTTTGCTCACCCCTCCGACTCGGCTCACGTTTCACGACCGTGTTTTAACCCCCAGGTGAACCTGCTCCTTCTGCAGCTGTAGGTTACTGCCAGCAAGGAAGACACTGTCGCTGGTGCCTGTCATCACCCGCAGGGGTTCAGAGCAGCTCCCCTCAAGTCGGGAATTCACGGGGAGGGACCGGCCCGCCTGCCGGCATCTCGTGTGAGCTGTGTCTCGTTTGTGCTCTCAGTGCCCACGGGAAGCAGGGCCAGGGAGTGTGTGCAGGTAGTTTTCCTTCCGGTGCTGTTGACCCACAGGTTCTGGAAGAGCCTCGTCTCCAGCACAGCCACAGCAGCTGCAGCACCGGCGGGAGGGAGGGGGTAGGATGTGGAAGCCTAAGGTTAACCCCCAGAAGTTGGTATTTTCCTTTCAAAAAGGGCTTCAGACAAGCCATGAAAAGACACAGAGGAAGCCTCAGTGCACGTTTCTCAGTGAAAGACGCCAACGTGAAAAGGCTACACGTTGTGCGTTTCCAACTCTAGGACATTCTGGGACAGGCAAAAGCCATGGAGACAGTAAAAAGATCAGTGGTCTCCAGGGGTTAGTGGGGAGGGGGCATAAATAGGCAGAGCACAGAGGACTTTTAGGGCAGGAAAATACTCTGAACTACAAGGGTGGATACGCAATACATGTATCAAGCCTGGGTCCAAACCCACAGAATGTACCGCTCCCAGGTGATGCAGCAGGGCAGGTTCTTCCTTTGGAGCAAATGCACCCTCTACGGGGAATGCTGGGAGAGGGAGGCGGCAGTGGGGGGGGGGGGCACATGGGAACTCTGTACCTTACTCTCACTTTTGCTGCAAACCTAAAACTGCTCTGAAAAATAAAATCTGTTTTTAAAAAATGGCTTCAGAAGCCTTTGCCCCTGGAGACATCTACTTTTAATGAAAATGACAACAGCACGCATTGTCATTAACGTCTTTAATAATGTGCAAGACACGAGCGGGTGTGGCCTTGGTGGGCACCCCCTCTGCAGGAGGAAAGCTAAGGCCACGTGCTCCGCCATTCACTGTACAAAACCACAGGGACGCGTTTACCTCTTTACAGTTCTGACGGCACCAGTTTCCAAGAACCGTATCAAAAGGACACACCGTATTGTGACTGGAGCCGCTGGAAAATGCTAATGATTTGTTTCCAAACCCCACCTCAGCACACCCTTCACCTTCTTTAATTTATAAAAACAAGTGACTGTGCACAAAATCTCCCCTCGCCAGGAGCACAGGTCACGCCCGTATCTTGTACACGGGCAGCCGCGCTAGTGACCGGGAAGCTATTTGGCAACAGCAACCTTGATATAAATGCCTTAAGTTTGAACAGATCCATGGCCCCTGTGCCGTCTGAGCAAAGATGTCACCATACCCGATGCAGCACGCGACCCCTGCTGGGAGGAAGGGGGCTCCTGAGGCCGTCTGTGACCCTGTCCTGGGCAAGCGGGGTCTCCCCCGCCCAGGCGACCTCGCGGCCCTCACGTGAGTGCGGCTCCAGGACGACATCACCGCGGGGGCTGCCACGCCCCTCAGGCCCAGGCAGCTCTGACTCTGGTCCATGGTCCCTCATTTCCGTCTCTGGAGGTGGGTCCTTCTGGTCACAACTGGGGTGCTGGTTGGGGCAAGCCTACACGTTCCATGGACACTGCTCTGCCACCGGGGCCAGGGGCCTGGGGAGGCTGGCGTGTCTGCGGAGGGTCACGGTGAGGCAGCGGCTTCTCTGTTATCCTTTTCTTACCGTGATCCTCCCGAGGCCGCAGACACATGGAGAGAAGCAAGGCTTAGGGGTGTGGGGCGATGTGGGACATCCGGGGACTGCTGTCCCCGAGGGTGGGCAAGGCCCCTGCCCCCCCCCCACACACACACACACTCTGCCTGTCCCTGAGCCACACCCGACATGTCAGGGACTTACAAACCCATGATTTACCTCTTTCTAGAAAACCTTGGGTTTGGCTTTTCACGTAAGAGGGTGGCCGAGTGACACGTGCCCCCTTTGCAGATTATGGGAAGCAGGGGGTGAGCCGTGTGCCCAGAGATGCATGCGTGAGGGTATTCTAGATTTATTGTTTCACTTTAAGGCTAGGACCCATCATACATATATATCTTTTTAAAATTTCTAATTCTGAGCATCATTATTTCTGATAAAAATATTTTCCAAAAATCTGATACATGACACGAGACATCACGTAGGCACTGCTTAGTGTTTCCAGAAATATATTTTGTGCGGATTTAGTTTTCAAATTTTTTTTTGTTTTTTGGTCTACGGTGCTTTGGTGAGCCGTGTTTTAGAACCTCTATGATCCAATTTTCCTGGTCGGTCTAATGCCTGGGTCGGGACCAGCGGTGCCCACCTGGTGAAGGGGGGACCTGGGCGTCAGACCACAGGGGCTACTGACATGCTCGGTATGAAAATACTTGTTAAATATTAACAACAGGAACTTACCAGGATTTAGAAAATGTTCCGAATTTGTAAAAATGCTCCATTGCAGTGGATCCCCGCAGGCACTTACGATCCCGTCCCCAGCCCGCGCCTCCTCCGGGTGGGGCCGTGCCTGCGACGCCGGGCGGGTGCCACCCGCGAAAAAAAGGCATCAGAGGGAAGCTTCAACATCATCGGGACACTTTATTCCTCAGGACGTTACAGGCTAACTCTCCCGGCGGAGCAGGTCAGTTCTGTTTCTGTGGAAAGTGTGCACCTTCGAAGTCGGGGACACTTTCTCCCTCGGACACGGGCACCGCGGCCTCCGCGGCGCAGGCACAAGAAGCAAGTTCCTCTGGTGCAGGCGGCCGCGGGCCGCATGGAGGGGCTCTTCTGCCCGGGCCGCCAGCGCCCAGCCCGGCATGCATGCATGCGCGGTGGTCGGGGACAGGCCCGCACCGTCTGCCCGCGTCCACGACGAGAACGCGGTGCCTCACGCGGACTCCTCGGCGGACAGGAGCAGCGGGTGGGTGTATTCAAACCCTTCAAACTCCGACTGGTCGATCCTCTTGAGGACGTCCCTGCGGGTACCGGACAGGGCAGGCTTGACGGGCCCGCGCGAGACGCCGGCCCGCAGCTCGGGACGCCCCGCCCTCCACGCGAGACCCGTCCACGCCCCC